AAGTAACTACTAACTCTAACTAGTTATTTTTTTAAGTAATGTTACCAATACTGCTTAGGATGTGGATGGATGATGTTGAGACGCTTTTGTTGTTAAATTCACATTTTTGGCGCGGTCAGTTTAGATTGTCCTGGTTTAATTTGTTGCTTTCCTTCTTTGATTTTACATATTTGTGTTCCTTACTCCACCTTCCTCTAATTCGTCTTGTTATCCTTTCTTCCCTCTCACCTGATTTCATTTGCTGATTGCAGCCATCTGATGTTCATTTTCAATCAGTTCCTCCATGTTGATTTTGGAGAGATTCTCCGCGATTTTGTCAATCTTTCCATCTGTGTGCCTTGTACGTTTTATACTATTAGGCTCTTTTTTTAAATCAGTTTCAGTAATTCAATAATATAAAATTTTTATTGTGATCATGTTACTCCCACTTGCCCCAGATAGTGAATCCTACTACTTGCACACACTCTAATAACCAGCCTTCTCATCCTACAGTCATTAGTTTTCAGCATATGGGGAAAGTCAAGCCATCTGTTTAACTCCAGCTGTTGTCAGTTCATTAGTTGTAGCTAGAGGACCCCTTATAAAACTAAATACTGTTAGCTTATAGCAGCATATAAATTGGATAATCTCTCCCAACATAACCCTACTTCAGTTTTGGCTTAAGTTTTTTGTGTTTTAAAGATGTGCAGTTTGAAGCCTGGTGTGATACAAGTCTTACATTTACTGTCCACCAGAGGGCGACATATCCATATATTTTCATAATGTGGGTTATATGTAGGAGGGCATATCATTCTTCTCTGCTTGACTAGTTACAGATAATAAACTTGGCAATATATTCTGCCTCTACACAGGTTAAAGTGTTAAAACCTAGAGGCAATATCAACACCTATAAATTTGCTGAAAAACACTACTCATGGAGGATGGTCATTGAAAATCATTATTTTTAACACCACGTTGCACTCTTGGCTTCTAGGTATTAACACAAACCAAATGTTAATTCATGTCCAGAGGTCTTAACAGATACAGTTGACAGAGGTGGGGTTGAAAGGTATGGTTTAAATAGAAATAATTTATGCATTTTCTGTTTACAAATACACCATGCCACCCTTTATTGATAGCAGTAATGGTGAAACATTTCATGGAAATGTTCTTTGCCAATACATAATGAGAGAGAAAATAAATTACACTAGTCAAGGACGGCATGAAGATGCTTTTGTTGTTAGAAGGCTCGAGCAGTAAAAAAGGAAGTGAGAAAAAAAGAAAAAGAAGAGATCTCTAAATATAATTTATCTTCAAATGAAAACACATTGGAGTATCAGACACAGACGTAACGGATGACTTGCTCCTGTGAGTTTCTCTTTGTTAAACAGATAAAATAGGAGAAAAAATTACAAATTAGACACTATGCACATAATGGTAATCTGTTGTTAATTATACTTTTAGCTATGAGACAGAATGTGCTCTTCTTTTAATTTTTTTTCCACCAAAAAGGAAGGATTCATTCAATTCAATCGTAATATATTCTCAATAAAATTTTATAGAAATCTAAATTTTGTTGGTAGCACAAACAACCTGGCTTCAATATGAACACAACAGAGGTGTTCTGAGAAACTGATGTGCAACATGAAACAAGCTCTTAATGGTATGAATGGGAGGGAAAAAAATGTTTGGTGTTAGTAAGCGTACATGCAAAGTGCTTTAGTTTGTTCGTCACACTAACTGCATCCCTTGGCATTGATGGTATTATTGATGAGGATGATTCAAAGTTAGCTATTTTCAGTAATGTCTTTGAGAATTAGGTCAGAAAAGCAGAAATCAGAGCTTGGATGAGGATCAGAAGTCACAGTTGAGCGAATTCTAGCTCATCAGCCAGTAGGGCTCGGCAGCTACTGGCTGAGAAGTTGCTAAATCATGGACCACTCACAGTTTTTGAGTTTAAACACACGAATATTTAAAATACAGAGAGTAGCTGCTTGTCTGTCCACTGCTTAAAAGAGACGGAGTGCTAAAAGACCTCCAACTTTACATAAAGGAATTCCAAATTCTTCTCCTTTTACGTCTTACTTGGAAATTAAACAATCTGACTTCTCAGTACAAATAGGTCAACTTTATAAGGATTTTATTTTTCTTTTAAAATGACTGCTACACTCTTTCACAAATTCTTACAAACACACAGCGTGACTTGGCCTTGATTCCTACACTGAAAAAAGTGACTCACACTGCAGGAAGGTTAGAAAAAAAGTTTATAATTATAACTCTTTGGTATAAACCAGAACTCACTGAAACCTGTAGAGGCAAGTCAAAGATTTAGAAAAAAAGTAAATGTTGTTCTTTGATCAACAGATCTTTACGCTAATCCCTAAAACACAACAAATTGTATCTCAAAGTCTCATGTAGGCTGTAAGGGCTATAAGCTGTTACATCATTCTTAGACCAGATTGTGCACCATTAGAAAGCACTAATGAGTGTTTTGAGGTTGTTATTTGCGCTCATCTTTTACAAAGCAAAAGGGAAAAATATCTGTTTTTATTGAACTCAAACCAAATCTCACTCCAGTCTGGTGATATCAGTCCTTTGAATTATAGGGATTTTCCAGATATATTCAGCAATTAATAAAGCAGAGTGCTTATGAAAACATAAGAACATTTAAGCTGGATATTATCGAATAGAAAAACTACACTCAAAGGCTTCAAACTTTGTAAGCTTAAAAAAAAGGTGCAACACAAAAACATTTAGAAAAGTATTCGTTTTCACAAAAACAGAGATTTAACAAAATAAAATCCCAACGCCTGAGGCCGACTTCTAAAAAAATTGACATTAAAAATGCTAAAACAAACATTTCCACCCCTCAGTTCTGCCAAACTAACAGCAGAAGGCAACACACACTAGTTTACCCTAATCTCAGTAAACATGTATCATATATTAAAAGGATGTAAAGTAAGTTAGGTCTTTTGCACACACACACAAAACAAAAAACAAAAAAACAAAAAAAGAAAAGAAAAACAGGAAGGAATCCAGAAGGAGTCTTCCTGTCTAAAAAAAAAAAAAAAAAAAAAAAAAGACCTGACTCTATTTCTGGCAAAGAGAAATGTTTGCAGCTGAGTGATGTCCCATCCTGCTTCAAACACTTTACCATCATTAGTCCTAAAGTATCCATCCATCACTGGAAAGAATGATTATAGGTCGGGTCCTCTATTGCCTGAGGTCCTAGAGTCTTGAATGACTAGTTTTGCCCAACCTAGAGAATATCAGAGGACAGCTAATGGACAGTCTGTGGTTTGTTTATGAGAACAATGGGGCATCGGATGATACATTACATTCCAGAACACTCCAGGTACTTTGGGGGTTTATGTAATGATCCTGTTTATAGACGTTAGCTCAGCACTTTAGGCAATGACTCCAGAGGTCCTCTGCTCCTAACTTTTAATTAACTCGTTAAGATAAAAAAATATATATAAATCAAAGCGTCTGTCCTGACATCTGTCAATGGACACAATATATTCTGGGGTTTCCACCTCTCCTCTCCTCCATGTACCTCCATCTCACATCATAACTCCAACTAAAGCTTATTGGCAAGAGCTTCAGTCATTGACCAAAAGTAGATACATAGCTTCATCAGTGAAACCACTACAGCTAATTTGCTATTTTGACTTCACAACAGTTTTTACTTTCTTGGTTGTGCAGGAGCAGTGATGCACCTAAGCTCTGGTTAATGTGCTGCAAATGGCATTAAAAATTGACACAACACTTTCTTATTAGGAGAATCAGTACTTAAAGCTGAAGTTAAACATGTATTTGTTCTTTAGAAGTAGAGAGATATGTAATGATAGCAATAATTGCTCAATGTCTGTTCCCAGCCAAATGCTGGTCATTTTTACCCTTCACCAAATTAAATCAATTTAATTGCAGATTTTGTCTTTTTGTACATGCGTTTGCAAACTTTTTTTTCAACTAATTTATGCCAAATATAAGGAAACTGAGTCAATTTAATGTCAGGAAAGAGGATAATTATTTTCTTTGGATCAAATATATCTACAATATGAAATCATGAAAGTAAGATGACCCAATTGGGGAATCACTTTTTGTTTATCAGCACAAAATGAATATCCAAAATTTGATATGATAGAATATTTCTTCTTTTTTTATGTTCATTATCGTAAATAGTTATATAATGGTTATGCATATGGTTTCCAATGAATACTATACTGTTGTTAAACACAAATTGGCAAAGTTACCTTGGACCTAACAGTGGCTGGTAAGAAAAAGGCATCCCTTACACATGGTGGTAATGTGTTAATATATTTTAGAGGCCTAGAAACAGAACGCACATAAAGGTCAGCAGGAATGATAGTCCACCTTCTAAAAGTAGCTATGCACTCCTATTCTCTCTGTAATATCCACTAGGCCTGTGTCAAACTGGGAAACAAGTTTATTCAATTATTTAATTTATTTCTCAATATGATGTGTAATATGATGTTGGATTCTCAGATAGACTCCATTCTCAAAAGGACTTTCTGCTGCAACTCAGGGAGCATAGTCCACCCCAGGCATTCTTAATGCATCTCTACTTCACAGATTGGTTTACAGAAGACACAAAGAAGGAAAAAAGTTCATTTTAGTGACAGAGAGGAGAGCAGAGGAAATCAAACGAGCCCCTTTACCTTTTCTCTCAAGAAGCAGGAAGCAAGATGTGAAAGTAGTCAGCAATAACTAAAATCCTGGAAAGTATATAACTTCCAAAGTTCTTGCTAATAATAAAGAGCCATGATAATAAGAACTAGTCAAAGATGTAAGTTCTTTGCCCACATCTTCAAACTTTTAAATCATTTCTTGTAGTCAGCTGCTATACCTGGCGTTTTTAGATGCCAATATGAATCTAGAAACAGCTGATTCTGAGAGAAAATATATTTAAATAACTGTTCTTTCAAGTCATATATCTGACAAAATCTAAAACTGCAATTATAAAGTAAGAGCGGAAGAATCATTAGGAACAACCGTACCCTTGCAGTGCTTTCTCTCCAAACCAGTCGCCTTTTCCAAGGCTGCGGAGGTAGACAGGCTCCCCATTGGGCAGCTCTTCCCTGGTCACATTAACCTGCAAAAAGAGGACAACGAAAGGGAAAGAGGTAAAGGTAAGCAGGGTGTAAGAGGAAAAGATGGGGCAAAAATGACAGATTCAAAGATATTGTGGAACGGAAGGAGGACATTTTAATAAAGTATGAAAAATATAATTATATACTATAAAAAAAAAAAAGTCTTGATCACCAAGAAAAGGAACATAACTTTCAGAATATTCTGTCACAAGCAGGTATTTATCTCTGCAGTGCAGGAAATGAGAGGCACTGCTGACAACTTTATAAGCTTGATGGCAGATATGAGATGGAACTCTCCTGTGAACCAACGACTTTACAAATCACAGAATTGGCACTTGAGTATATTTTTAAGGAAGCGGGTGGAGACGACTGTTTCGCCTAATGAGGGCTCTCAATTTGATCCATTAGCTGTAGCAGCATAAATCTAGCGACAGCGTGCCGGAATGCAGTGAACCGCTGAGTGACAGCCTAATTACCCGTGATCGTGTAGAATACTGTCGCTACAGAGAAAATGCAAAGAGAGAAGGTAGAGGACATGAAAAGTGTGACGAAATAGTGTGTTACACAATTGTGTCAGATGGTTATAGAGACAAAACATATACTTTAAAAACACCTGTTTCTGGCTTTGTGTGTTAGGTCAGTTGGGAATACTAAAAATATTTGTAGTTGCTAAAAAAAAAACAGAGTAACAAGAGAAAAATATATTTTGTTACCTTCTACTTGTTTTATTTCAGAATTATAAATGTATACTATCGCTTAGAATAATTCAGGGAAGCCCAGATGAGGAAGTTATGGCTTTGCAAGCTTTTGAGAGGTTAATGTACATTTATTCTATATGAAACCACAGCTGTGGATGCATTTTAAGGAAACACTTGGGTTTTTAGTGTGAACAGTTCACATCACCACAACAAAAGAAAAAAGGTCTCGTGAAGATGCTGGCTAAAGATGGCTAAGAGTTTCATTATTCTCAATGAAAAGAAGATGCTATTTCTTCAAAGGCAACATAAAGAGCCAGGTGAAATGGACGTTTAAAGAAAGTGCCACTTAAGCCTCCGTCACACTGTTTTCTTTCTTGCCAGAAATTAATCAGCATGTTCAACATCGTTCAGAATAGATAAAAAAAGATAAAGAAATAAGGAATTTAAAAAAAGGATTATAGTGTTTTTTTTGCTTTTGTTTTTTTTTTTTACATCACATTCCCTGTTGTTTGTAATTATGAGTCTTCTGGTAAGTGCACTGTTTGTATTGTGTGTGCCTAGCGAGACGAAGGACTAAAAGTATTGCGCTATTTTGTATCATTTTGGACAGGTGTTGTTTTTGTATGATGAGTATTTGTTATACATTTTCCCTAACTCTGACTATCTAGAACTATTTAAAAACAATTGTTGCTTTTGACATATAAGTCAAATATCCATTTGCTGAATCAATGCAGTTTTAAAGCTTGGAGTATTTATCATACAAAGGTTCTTAAATCTGGATTTGTAAAGAGAGAACATTTGCATAACACAAGGTGAGTCACATTTTAATATGGGAAATTGATGTGACTCTTGGTTCAAACTAAAATTCATATGCAGCTGTGGCTCTTTTAATTAGGTAGTTATATTGACAACTGAGAGCTGTGATGCTGCAAAAAATGTTAAACTTACTAAAGATTTAGATCCGTTGGTTTTGCTCTAGAACTCTTTTTCTGTGCTATTGTCAAATGAACATGGAGGCAATGTTGGAGAGCTGTTGACCCAAGATAATATTGTAATAATATGTGCACAAAGTAATATGCCAATTACTAAGCTACCTGTGTGTTCTGGAGATTGCAAATTGTTAAACATGCTGACCCTATCTATACCACCAGCTATGGAAGGTGCTATAAGGAGGGCAGGGTTTGGAAACTTTACCCTTTAAAGATGGTATGAGACAAGAGGGAGTGATTCAAGACAAACTTTTGTTAGTGCTGGCAAGCCTTCTTGTTATGCTGTATCGTAAAATCTCATGTACAGTTTATGTGCAGGATATTGGACTCCACCAGAAGCATACAAGAGGACATCACTGACAGAATCTGCATTAAAGGAATAGTACACCCAAAACATGATTAGCCTTCATTTTCTACTCACCCCCATGCTGAACAACACCCTGGAGTACTTTTTTGATATGTCAAATGCATCTGGAGATCTGGGAGGCTTCTTGCTGTCTGCTGACATTCAAATAATGGAGGTCTATGGCGCCCGAGGCAGAAAGGTCCATAAAAGTCCACAAAAAACGTGTCAATATTCCTCCATACTACTCGTCCAATGTATTCCAAGTGTCCTGAGTGGGTAGCATTCAGAATTTACTCGAAACGAAGTCATTTAGAATGTTTTTAGAGCATAAACAGTAGTGTATAGGATTTCCTGAAAGCGCGCACATGCGCGTTCACGACGCTACGGAAGCCGGCAGACCAAACCAGATGAAAGTGCGCATTCAGCGTCTGCTCTGCCAATAATGCAAGCGTAGAAGAAGAAATGTGCTGTTTACCTATGCAAAGAAAGAAAAATGTCTGAGGACTTTAGTGTTGAGGAAGAGCATGAGTTCTTTGCTGAACTGAATGCGCTGGTTTGGTCTGCCGGCTTCCGTAGCGTCATGAACGCGCATGTGCGCGCTTTCAGGAAATCCTATACACTACTGTTTATGCTCTAAAACATTCTAAATGACTTCGTTTCGAGTAAATTCTGGATGCTACCCACTCAGGACACTTGGAATACATTGGACGAGCAGTATGGAGGAATATTGACACGTTTTTTGTGGACTTTTATGGACCTTTCTGTCTCGGTCACCATAGACCTCCATTATTTGAATGTCAGCAGACAGCAAGAAGCCTCCCAGATCTCCAGATGCATTTGAGATATCAAAAAAGTACTCCAGAGTGTTGTTCAGCATGGGGGTGAGTAGAAAATGAAGGCTAATCATGTTTTGGGTGTACTATTCCTTTAAGCTCAGTTAGTTTATTTTAGTTTGTGAAATCAATGGAGGCCTAACCTTTGTCATTTTCTTTTATAAAAAAATTATTTTTTCTTTTTTTTTCTATAAACATAAACCTGTCTTCATCAAACTGAAATAAGTAAGCAAGAATTTGAAGTTAGTTTTAAACTTGGACATAATGAATTAGAAATTTGTACAATTTTCATTTTTGTTGTTATTAAGGGTTATAGTGGAGGATGTGGATCATCAAAATAAGTGATCCTCCTAACTGTCAATTATTCTGGTGATATGTTTCTGCGCATGCTCACTTTCAGGTGTATATTTGTGGTGAACTAAGGTTTCAGACAATCATTGAAGCTCGCCTTTCTCACCACTATTTCTTTAATCATCATCAAGGAAAGCGCTTAAAACTGCCTGCATAGCAATTCTTGGCACAATATTATATCATCAGGTAAGGATAGTGGGATGTGTGGCTAAATAAATTGTGGTTGGTTAGTAAAAACAGGCTGGCGACCTGTCCAGGGTGTACCCTGCCTCTCGCCAATAGACTGCTGGAGACAGACACCATCCCCATGTAATAAGTGGGAGAAGATGGATGGATGGATGGATGGATGGATGGATGGATGGATGGATGGATGGATGGATGGATGGATGGATGGATGGATGGATGGATGGATGGATGGATGGATGGTTAGTTAAAACATTCAGTAGAGTCATGCCAACCTGCATCCACGGACAAGTCTGAGCTTCTTAGCAAAACACTTGTGGGGGGGAAAATACCATCTCCTATTAATTCCCTTTTACATATACTGATTTATATGTGCTAAGATTACATTTACTTTTAAAAGCATTAATTCAGGCCTCAGAGCTGCAAGACTACAAGGTGTCCTAGGGAGAAGAGTTGTTTATCCTATTAGAGAGTGTTTGGGATAAAAATATTCCTTCTCATAACATTATAGACATTTTCTCAGGGTTTATTCATAACATGGTACTGTTTTCTCAAACTGTCTGTAATTGTTTTGATTAATTGTGTGCTGAAAACCTTCACAGCCTCTTTGTAGGGTTTAAGTTAGTGAGAGGAACCAGAACAGGGCAGAACATCGACATGGAAGGGCTGCTATGATTATCTTGTTCTCTCTTTGCAAAGAGGGACAATAAAATGCAAACTGAGTGAATTACCATCTATCTCGTTTCTTTAACAGCATTGCATTGTGGAATATGTTTTCCAATAACACACTGAAGGGGTCTTGTCAATAGTTCTGCTGATTTTTGATTTTGTCAGAGTATTGTTAGAAGAAAGAGTTAATAGACCTTGTTTTTCTAAGGTTGGTGTCTGCAAAGAAGATCAAAACACCAAAGTTGCACCAATGAAGAGTGCAAAAAAAGGTAAGACCCGGGTGCTTGCAAACATACACTATATTGCCAAAAGTATTTGCTCACCTGCCTTGACTCACATATGAGCTTAAGTGACATCCCGTTCCTAATCCATAGGGTTCAATATGACGTCGGTCCACCCTTTGCAGCTAGAACAGCTTCAACTCTTCTGGGAAGGCTGTCCACAAGGTTTAGGAGTGTGTTTATGGGAATTTTTGACCATTCTTCCAGAAGCGCATTTGTGAGGTCGCACACTGATGTTGGACGAGAAGGCCTGGCTCTCAGTCTCCGCTCTAATTCATCCCAAAGGTGTTCTATCGGGTTGAGGTCAGGACTCTGTGCAGGCCAGTCAAGTTCATCCACACCAGACTCTGTCATCCATGTCTTTATGGACCTTGCTTTGTGCACTGGTGCACAGTCATGTTGGAAGAGGAAGGGGCCAGCTCCAAACTGTTCCCACAAAGTTGGGAGCATGGAATTGTCCAAAATGTCTTGGTATGCTGAAGCATTCAGAGTTCCTTTCACTGGAACTAAGGGGCCAAGCCCAGCTCCTGAAAAACAACCTCACACCATAATCCCCCCTCCACCAAACTTTACACTTGGCACAATGCAGTCAGACAAGTACCGTTCTCCTGGCAACCGCCAAACCCAGACCCGTCCATCAGATTGCCAGATGGAGAAGCGCGATTCGTCACTCCAGAGAACGCGTCTCCACTGCTCTAGAGTCCAGTGGCGGCGTGCTTTACACCACCGCATCCGACGCTTTGCATTGCACTTGGTGATGTATGGCTTGGATGCAGCTGCTCGACCATGGAAACCCATTCCATGAAGCTCTCTGCGCACTGTTCTTGAGCTAATCTGAAGGCCACATGAAGTTTGGAGGTCTGTAGTGATTGACTCTGCAGAAAGTTGGCGACCTCTTCGCACTATGCGCGTCAGCATCCGCTGACCCCGCTCCGTCAGTTTACGTGGCCTACCACTTCGTGGCTGAGTTGCTGTCGTTCCCAAACACTTCCATTTTCTTATAATACAGCTGACAGTTGACTGTGGAATATTTAGGAGCGAGGAAATTTCACGACTGGATTTGTTGCACAGGTGGCATCCTATCACAGTTCCACGCTGGAATTCACTGAGCTCCTGAGAGCGACCCATTCTTTCACAAATGTTTGTAAAAACAGTCTGCATGCCTAGGTGCTTGAATTTATACACCTGTGGCCATGGAAGTGATTGGAACACCTGATTCCAATAATTTGGATGGGTGAGCAAATACTTTTGGCAATATAGTGTATTTGGAAGCAAGTGATTGTAAAAGAGTGTTGAATATGACCATAACCTACACCATAAAAACATGAAGATGACTAGTGGGCAACTTGAAAGCCTCCCACAGAATGGAGTCCAACGTGAAAGCCTGTGTTGATTACTAAAAGGGGAAATCAAAGTGACTCCTTTCCCCTTTCTAGATGCTCCCATCAGTATTGCAAGGGATGATGAAAGAGGTAGCACTTTTCCCTATCCGTCAATCTGAAGATGATTGATGATAGCAAACTTCCATCCAAAAATACCACACCTTCCCTTCAAAGATTGGCATCTTTGGCTGTGTGCTATGTGCCATGATGCCTTGTCTTGAAATTGGGATTGCCTTGAGAGTATGGCCTGTTGTGACTGTCCTCACCTTTCCTTTGCTGATAATAAAGAAGGTGTCTCCTCTGGCCCCCTGTCTGATGATGTACTCTCCTTCCTCGTAGTGTGTCTGTTGGAAGAGAAGAAAATAAAGGTAAAGAACATAGTGGCAACATACTATTCAACACATGAAAATAAATAACTAATGCATTTATCAAATGAGTACATTTTTTTTGTTGAAAAAGCATTCTGGTTTGCTACTTTCCTGCTTTCCTGCTTTATATTGCCTCTTTAATAAACCTATGGAGAACCTTGAACAGTAAGCAATCAGAAACACAACTAAAAGCTATAGGACCCTGCAAGGAGGGAAAATCACTGGTTTACAGTATTTCAAAAGAGAAATAAATACCAGATTATCATCTAGGAGTCAGTTTGCCATACCCTCAGTGTTCCTGCTCAGAGGGAGAGGAAGCTACTGTATCTAAGTCAATACTGGGTACTGAAATTTATCAATTAACCACATAGATAATAGAGGGGAATACCTGCATTTCTGTAATGCATTTACCTAAATGATGCTAGGCTAGACAGAAATAATAACAAAACGTCTAGCAAAGCAAAATAAAATCTTTAAAGGTTTAGTCTAATGTGAGGTAGTAAATGAGGAAAACACTTTAGTGCTAAAAAAAAAAAAAGCTCCAGCAATAGTTAAGGCTTTTTCAGTTATTTTAAAAGATGTATAGGATTGAACAACATATAAAGTAAATAATGGAAGCGTTTCAAGATCAGCTCTTAACATAATATAGTTATACTGTAAAATATAGTTCTGTACCCAATAATAATAAAAAAGAGATCTTTTTTCTTTAGATAAAATACTATTCATTTGTTAAACTATTGAAGAACGACTGGAGAGGAAATATAACTGTTGAAAATGTTATTTGTAGATGCTGAGAGTTTCTCGCTCAGTAAAGAGCGGTTTAGTGTTGAAAACATGTCACACCAAACTAAGAACTAGCAGTTCTCGAAAGTGGTAGCTTTACGAAAGTTAGAGTGATGTGTTAGGTAAGCTGCAACCTCTTTGTAACTTCCAACTTCCGTGGAATCAAGACAACTCAGTTTAAAGTGTTATTCATCCCTGCCAAGTGAGATTCATATCTGACATGTTTTAACTGTGCTAACCATGCTAGTGATGAATATATGGCACAAAATTTGAACCAGATATTTAATTATCTGTAAGCCACAACCAAAATTACACAAAGTAAATTCTTCAAATACTTAGTTCTACAACATAAATGCATTTAGTACATAAGTTTTTCCAATTGAAATCGGTAATAAAAAAATATAGATTTTTTTTTTGCACTGAACTTCATCATGTTATATTTCATATAATAACATACATACCTGTATATTCAGGGTTTTTTCCACCATGCAAAACTCAGCGTAAACATGATTACAATGAAAGGGACAATTTTCATAACCTGACAACAGCCAGATGCACGTCTCGCTGTGAGTGAAGCTGGGCGGAGCGAGACATGCATCTGGCTGTTGTCAGGTTACAATTTTCATGCAGTGCTAAAAAATCTTAACTTGTTTATACCTCGTGTGCAGGCTCTTACTTTAAAGGGTATTATTAATGCAATTATTAGAATAAAATATATTTCTGACTTATCTCACCAAAAGTATAGAATTTAAAAATTTTTAAGTTATTTCAAAAATATTATAATATTATCACCTAAAAGTTATAATGACGTTTTCCCTACTTATATTTTGCTTAAAATATAATGTAATGTAAATGTGAATCTAATTTATAAACAGACACAGTGTAAGCGTTCACTAGCCTGTAAATGAGGAAGTGTTTGTATTTCATCTTCTAAATGTTGCTGGAAAAAATACTGAGCAAACTGAACATAAATAAGCTATTAAACGTAAAACTTGCTCACATCTGTGATAAAAGTTAAGCATTCTATTTAAGTTTTAGAATCCTTCTATGTGTTTTTATTTTAGGCAGGTATCATTTATTATTCAATACTCTGTGAAACAAACACCAAATAACCTTCAAAGCAAATACAGTTAATATTATTTTTCTTACACTTATTTTGGTAGGAAAACATTTAAAGTCATTCAACGTGCATTTAAACCACATTACCAAATGATGCATCATTTTTCTCCCCATTCTCATGGTTCTACAACTCATTTAAAATCTGGCCTAATCTCTCCATCAGTATTCGAATTAATGAGATAGCAGCAGGATGAGAACAACTGCTTTGATAGCAACAGACGATGCTTAGATTTCAATCGGAAAAGAAAAGGCACTAAAAGCATGTTACTATAGTAACATTTAGTTTATAATAGATGCCCAAACACAGCATTGAATGAACAATTTTATTCATTATGCTAAGCTTAATTGTTAGAAAGCAGGATGAGGCAAGGCGGCAACACACTGAATTCCTCAGCAGGTTTAGGAACATGTCCATTGCTTAGTTTGTGGGAAATTTTGTGCAATATTACCTCACAGCACATGTTCAAGTGTTCCTACTTACTCTGATGATCAGATATAGTAGAGAAACCAAAACCCAACAAGTACATATTATCAGAACTTTTCCATTAGCTTAATAGATGAGAGCGGATAATACACTATATTGCCAAAAGTATTTGCTCACCCATCCAAATTATTGGAATCAGGTGTTCCAATCACTTCCATGGCCACAGGTGTATAAATTCAAGCACCTAGGCATGCAGACTGTTTTTACAAACATTTGTGAAAGAATGGGTTGCTCTCAGGAGCTCAGTGAATTCCAGCGTGGAACTGTGATAGGATGCCACCTGTGCAACAAATCCAGTCGTGAAATTTCCTCGCTCCTAAATATTCCACAGTCAACTGTCAGCTGTATTATAAGAAAATGGAAGTGTTTGGGAACGACAGCAACTCAGCCACGAAGTGGTAGGCCACGTAAACTGACGGAGCGGGGTCAGCGGATGCTGACGCGCATAGTGCGAAGAGGTCGCCAACTTTCTGCAGAGTCAATCACTACAGACCTCCAAACTTCATGTGGCCTTCAGATTAGCTCAAGAACAGTGCGCAGAGAGCTTCATGGAATGGGTTTCCATGGTCGAGCAGCTGCATCCAAGCCATACATCACCAAGTGCAATGCAAAGCGTCGGATGCGGTGGTGTAAAGCACGCCGCCACTGGACTCTAGAGCAGTGGAGACGCATTCTCTGGAGTGACGAATCGCGCTTCTCCATCTGGCAATCTGATGGACGGGTCTGGGTTTGGCGGTTGCCAGGAGAACGGTACTTGTCTGACTGCATTGTGCCAAGTGTAAAGTTTGGTGGAGGGGGGATTATGGTGTGAGGTTGTTTTTCAGGAGCTGGGCTTGGCCCCTTAGTTCCAGTGAAAAGAACTCTGAATGCTTCAGCATACCAAGACATTTTGGACAATTCCATGCTCCCAACTTTGTGGGAACAGTTTGGAGCTGGCCCCTTCCTCTTCCAACATGACTGTGCACCAGTGCACAAAGCAAGGTCCATAAAGACATGGATGACAGAGTCTGGTGTGGATGAACTTGACTGGCCTGCACAGAGTCCTGACCTCAACCCGATAGAACACCTTTGGGATGAATTAGAGCGGAGACTGAGAGCCAGGCCTTCTCGTCCAACATCAGTGTGCGACCTCACAAATGCGCTTCTGGAAGAATGGTCAAAAATTCCCATAAACACACTCCTAAACCTTGTGGACAGCCTTCCCAGAAGAGTTGAAGCTGTTCTAGCTGCAAAGGGTGGACCGACGTCATATTGAACCCTATGGATTAGGAACGGGATGTCACTTAAGCTCATATGTGAGTCAAGGCAGGTGAGCAAATACTTTTGGCAATATAGTGTATCTACTTATATATAAATGTATTACTTGTGTCATGAGAAAGATGGAGGAACCTATTACCTCTTCAAGGACATCAGCAAGCTTGCTTAGAATGTCTTCCTGTAGGTCATGGAATGTGGGGACACTGCAGAAGAAAAGAAAATATATTTTTGAACAATAAAATACAAAAGTATCACAACGTGTTACACCATCAAAAATTGGGCCTGTGCAGATCTTATTCTGAGATAAGATTGAGGATATAATTTCAAATCATATCCTCTTCTTGTGTGAAAATTAATTTACTGCAGCAGATTTTTTTTAATCACAAAGTATTTGAGACTTGCTGCCTTATCAACTTTAGCTTTAGGGCAGACACTGGTGTAAAATAAGTCTCCATGGCCTCAATTTAGCTATCCTTTTTTCTTCTCCCAGGTAACTGTGGTAACTGACGATGTTAAAGGACATAAATCTGCAATCAAATTGAGAGTGAACTAATAAACCCAACATGGGAATAACAGCCAGGAAAGAGGCTTTTTCTACCCAAAATGACCATTAAAGCAGAAGTGTGTTTTATCACTATTGGCAAAGTCAAAGCTTTGGAATAGTAAGCTATGGACAGTGAAGGAGAACCCATTACTAACAGCTGGCTAATGTGGCATGGATTAATGGTAGCTTTTTAACAAAACAGCATGGCATCAGCAGTGTGAGAAAGTGTTGAAAGGTTTGAAGGTAACAGTGCAGCTTTAACTATATCACCATGAAGTCAAATGGAAAATCTAATAACTAACTCAAAGGCAGTACACTTAAAAGAAAAAGCCAATTATCCTTGGGTTTGCAACCCCCTTGTGGGTCATGGAGGTATTGCATGGGATCTGTGACTCCTTATTGTACTCCATATACGGTTGCATAATAGTTTCATTATTTCTCCTTTTTTATACACTGTTTATTTATCCTTGATTTGGTCCGTAAAGCCAGATTTTAGATATTTTTCAATTAATTTTAAATTCAAGCTATTTGATTCTTGTGATGGTTTCAGATTTTTTTGTTTGTTAAGAATTATTTGGCTACCCATTTTCAGTCTAGTCCTTGCAGTTAATTATTTTTCATAAATTAGGTACTGACATATGAATCATTCAAACACAAACAAAATTATCATCTAACCCTAGCAGTAGGCACTGTTTTGTAAACACATAACAGCTTCTCAAAAGAAAAAATGAATAAAGCAAAAGAAATCATAATCTGAACCATGTAATTTAATTGGCATGAAAAAATGAGGGCACTCTATGAAAGCCCAAGGACATAAGAATATTTTACAAATGTACTTAGCATGAAAATATTGTAAAATAATACAATTAGACAATAAAAAAAGAGTAGAACATTTTAAAACGTTGTGTAGAATACAAATAAAAGCGGAAAAAGTATATTTTTCTATTGAGAAATAAATCAGAACACTACTATGCTTATTGCCTACTTAAAGAGAAATAGACAGTTTTACATTCAACCGAGGAGCACATTGGTCCTTTGCTTCTCAAAGAAGGCTGCACCGTTTATCGCTCCTGGCTCTTAAAACAAGACTTAAAACCAAGGGGATTTATCTAAAACTTTAGGAAAAAGATGCTGATGCTTTAATGTTTCATCAGTCTTTACATCTGTCAAGAAATGTCAGGTGTTGGGTAAGACACATTTTATACATAGGGAAGTAACAAATGACTGAATGAAGGTGTACACTATTATCAGGTCCCAGTCAAAAGATATCAAACCAAGCGAGACTGCAGAAATAATGACTTCTATGAGTTTTCCTTATTATAAAAAACATGTCCCACAGACCCAGACATATACAGGGATTTAGTCAAGTGCCAGATCTCAATACTTTTCTTATAGGATTAGCTTGTAATTAGCTCTATTCACCTTCCAACAAACTGACCGACTTCACTGCATTGCTGAAGAAAAGGATTTGCACAGCATGAAGGTGTCACATGTCACTGTTAGCTTGGTTTTCTCAGCTTGTTAGTTTTCCTCTACATTTTTTATGAAGGCAAAACTGTTTCGTTTGATTTTATCTGACTTAAGTCACTACTTTCCAAATGATTCCCCACTTGGCTTTTTGGGAAAATATGAAGCATACTTAGCATATGGTACTTTAAAAACTGTGTTTTTCATACATACAAGCTAGATTCTGGAGTGCACTAGCCTCATAAGATTTCCACCCCAACAATGGATCTGTGCAGCCCCTCCAGGGTTATCACTGGCCGTCTGACTCTTTCTTTGAATAATATTTTCTCTCCTAGATTAGGTGGATGTCAATATCTTGGTAGGTTTACAGTCATACCATAAGATCTCAATTTTTAGAAGAGGTTTGTGCTCACAGCAAAAAGTATTGTTTTACAATTTACCTCAAGTTGTAAACCCTCCAAATCTCATCATTTACATTTTTATGTGTTTTGTTGGTCTCCACGATGCCTTTTGTTCACCGATGTTCTCAAACAACCATCTAAAGGATTTACAGAACAGCTGTATTTATTTGGAGTGTAGACAAACAAACATCTTAAAGCAAATTCAATAAAATATATAAAAGGTGTCAAAAAAGGAACCTGCATACAAATTTGTGTTAGTTTATTTTTTTATGTGAAAACTTTATATTATTTTCGCAAAATCCCACCAAATGTATTCAGTTGTATATTATCTGTTGTTGTAACAAGGTTTGACAAAATGTGGAAAAGTTCCAGGTCTTACTGTAGCAGGGCAGTCCATAGACTAACTTTCCATTAGGCTGGTATCCTACATGCTGTAACAATCATACAGGATCCTGATATGAACATTAGAGAACATGCATGGTAAGATGTGTAGTTATAGTGTATGTCATTGGTTGCAAAGAATGAATAAATCAGCATGAGGCTCTAATGTTTGTTCCGGTGCTTCCAGGCAGCTTATATGAATGTAATCTGTCTGTTATCGAGCTAACCAAAAAAAACTGGGCTAATGTTTATCAAGAGGGAAAGAAAATAAGCAATGTTGCTGAACAAAGCCTTATCTTCCCACATCATCTCCCCCTCTGAGTTTCTCCAGCTCCCTGTCACCCCACCCTGAGCTCATTTTCCATTTTTTATTACAGTAATCTGAACCATCTTGTCTCGGCCTCCAGACCCAGACCCTGGCCCCTCTGCTGATCTACATGTTGTCAGTTCCTGAATGGAGGCACCGGATTACTAGCAAAGCCATTAAGAGGTGATCCCTCTCTGCATGAATTATACAGTTTCAAACCATGCAGTTATGAGGCATGTTGACACAAACAAAGAGCTTTCGTTGGAGAGTTCTGAACAAATAAATTACTGTCTGAGTAAATAGCTGTACAACACAGATCTCATCCCGTTATCTGTTTTTGTTGGCTTTTTTTTCTTTTTACAATTACAAAATAATCACTCATATTGTGATGGCTCACTCTAAAGAATAAAACAGCATTTCCCATTTGTCTCTTAAATACAGTAAGATAAATATATAGACTGTTTCCATATACAGTACCTTATAACTAAGCCTCTTTTTCAAGTAAAGGAGAAAAGGTTAAGTGTAAACTAGTCAACATAAAGCTTCAGTAACAGAAATAAGTATATTTCTAAACCTGTGTGATTGTTGAAAAAGCCTCACCATTACCTTCCCTCTCCCAATGCATTAAAGTGATTTCAAAATAGACATATGTAAGAGGCAATAGCTCTCCATGAGTACTCTCAACTGCTGCTTTTGAAACCATGTGGGATCGATGTTTCCTGGGTTTTCCTCCTCCACAACTTATAAGTGCAAATGTATAATTTTCATAACAGTCAAAGGGTTAGGTTAGCTAGGGGGTAGGTTCACAGAAATGGACATTTTTTGTTGTTTAACTAAAACTTATAAACTCTTATTGGATCTCCTTCCGAAGAGCACGAGGGGAATATAATTATGAGCTTATTAACAAATGCTACCATTAATCTCTGATTTCCCCTGACACTCTTCTATAAACCAAACATAGAATGGATTTACCAAATATTTTCTCATCTCTCAAAATGTTATGTAAGACCCGTGGGGGGTTGAGAATTGCTGTACTGTGTAAACGAGATGTTTTTTGCTTTGTTTTTTTTTTCAAATAGAACATATTACTTAAATGGCAGCTCTTTTATAAATAAAATATCAAATCGTTCTTTTACTTTCTTAAAAAAAAACATAGACACAAACACATATGCGAAAAAATGGAATCAAAGGCAAATTAAAACATAAAGTGACATCAGAGATTACATTCTTGAAATAGATTACGTTCTTTTTTGCAGTTGGAAAAAAATTGGTGTGAAACTTTTTAAAGGGAAAAGGGGAAATACTGTTTTAAACATCGGTCATTTGTATCTACAGTTTTCTCACTGAGAGCTATATACAACTCTAAGTTACCCATATGAACAATTTTAATTAATTTAATATTTCATTATATGTAATTAACTGTTAGTAGCAAACAACAAGAAAATATACAAAGAGGGTATGCTTATTTTAATATTTGCTTCTTAGCTTTGTTTCTGTAACATATTTCCAAAGCAAACCAGACTAGATACAGATGAAAACTTGTTCAAGATATTCAGCAGGTGGAAGAAATTATCAAAGATTTTTTTTATTTTTTGCATCAGGTTGCAATTGTCCTCCCATCAACTGAAAACACAACAGATGAAGAAGTGATTGAGGAAATACAGAAAGATATTTTTGAACAGCAAACTCCAAGTCCTGACAGCATTTAAGTCCTCACCAAATGTTTAGGAATAGTAAAGTTTATAATAATGCTGTGTGAAAAGTTATGCAGTTACTATGAGCATTGTTGCCTCACAGAAGCAAGGTTTGGGGTTTGAATCCCCGTCTGTGGTCTTTCTACGTGGAGCTTACATGTCCTATTTGTGCATGCATCGGTTTTCCTCTACATACTTAGTTTTTTCCCTCTCTTTTGTATAGTGGCTGGTGAACTTTCTGAGCTTTACATTGCCTTTTTCATAAAAACGTCTTTTGTTTTTTTCTTTCTCTGCTAAAATGTTGGCAACATTCACCTTATAGTTTTTATTTGATCTGCACAGTGCAAAAACTGTGCCTTAATAATTCAACAGCTGTGTGGATATAACTTGGATAAACATACGGAAATATCTGTGTATGTTGGCCTAAATACATACATAATGCTTCATTTAAGCATATACAGGCTGTATCAGTGCAGAGAGGTACTGTTTACACAGAACTGCTACACTATGTAAGAATCAGATTTAGTAAACTGACATGGAAACTGGTTTGTGGAGGTTTTGGTGTGTCTGAGTATCTCTATGAATTTATCCCACAGTAATTGCTTTCAAGATTTGTTCTTTTTTCTCACATGTTCTTTAAGATTACATATAGCACTGTGTGTAGTTAAACTGAGGACATTCTGATCAACAGAAGTTGACAGACTAACAATCTTTGGAGTAACTTGTAGAACAGCTCTACAAAAACTAAAAGAGTATCATTGGAGAAAAAAAAGGTATAAACATATGGCATTGTTTGCAAAATGGACAATTGCAATGTGTAGTGCATCCTTTCTTGCTGTGCCCTATACCTCACTCATTAAAGTAGAATATGTGGTCCAATATTATTGAGGACTTTAGAAATAATGAGCAGTAATGAATAGAAATTACCCAAGAATCCAAATTAAGTCAAAGCAGAAAAAGAAAATTACAAAGATCCTTAATTCGCTTAACCCCAAAGTGAATTAAAGCTAAACAAAAAAAAAGCAGGGGTATGAGTGATTTAATATCTAATTTTTAATCTCCTTCCATCCTCATTTCTTTTATCTTCTACTTTATCTTCAGGAGTTTTTTTATTATTATAATAACCTCTTCAGAAAAGTGGTTACTGCTTTGTCACTTTGCATATCATTAAGAACACTGAACTTCTAGAGCCAAGGTGCAAAGCATACTTTGCAGATGGTCAGACCAGGCTGTCTCTAAACACTGTTAACACAGGTACTGCACAGAAAATAAAGAAATATAAAATAATTTTATTGAGAGCACACACACACACTTTCCTGAATTCATTTTGTTAATTCATTCATTGAATTTCAGATCAAAGACCTATTCAGACCACTTCCTGTCACCGTGAGACAATTAGCTGTCGTTGCTCACCTTTTCAGAAACTCCATATACTCTGTGTGTTTAATGAGCCCCGTCCTCATCATGATCGTCTGAAAGCATTGTCGGTCGATGGCCCACAGCTTCACATTTGTCAAAGCTGGAAAGAGAGCACAAACCAGCAAAGCCATGAAAGAACATCCCTGTCCTCTGGGAACCAAAATAACACCAAAGTACATACAGTTTATGCATTATTCATGCTGTTCAAGAGCGTTATGTTTCATGCGTTCACAAGAGGAAGGTAGTGGATATCATGTGCAATCAGAAAAGGAGAGAAATCAAAGTTAGCAGGTTGAACTGACACAACTGGTACAACTGATTGAGAGTGTTGAGTTTTGAGTTCAATTGCAGTGTGTAAAAAGGACCATCATCCATGTGTTTTATCTTGCTGTAATCCTGGAACGGAGAACAAAAAAAAGGTATTCCAAACAATTATATTTCCACTCAGCAGCTGGGAGATAATAGGTGTTCCTATGCGGCTGAATGCCTCAAGTATCACTACAACATTTTAATTGGATCAGGGTCATGAATTTGACTCGACTATCCAATTTTTATAAGTATGAGTTGATGAACTCTTTGCCTGATGAGTAATTATCAGAATCTGTGACAAAGATGGGATTTGAGGTTAAAAATCACAGCCACCATGGTTCTTTTATATTATTTCCAAATTAAAAATCTACAAACTCCCTGCAGTCTGCTCCAGCCCTCAGGCAGCAGCAGAATGCAACAGATATTTGAAGCAAATATTGGGCTATAGTGGGTATGACACATTTTTGCAGCAATTTAGGAAAGGTTAGTGGGAGAATCTGGAGCCTTAAGTACTCTGTATTTTCTTATTTTCTTTAATAGTAGTATTTAGGATATTCACTATCAAAAAAACTTGAATGTTTTTAGTAATCAGTGTAACATTTCTTTTTCAGTGTTTTACATATGTGTTATCTGCACAATCTCTTTAACAACAAAAAGATTCATTCAATTTTGCAGAACAAAACAGATCATCACATGGTCAGGTCAAAGTACTACAAGCTTTATCTTGGCATTTTTGAAATACCTTTTAGACTTAAGTTGAGTTATTTTATGTCAGAACAAAATGATAAAACAAAATTTTCTGGTAGGAGTTAAAGCTTATCTTGTAAAAACTGTTTTGTTGTATTAGTGGTGAGAAAAATAATCACAAGGTTCCATGGGGAAAAAGTATTCAACTCTCCAGATAATTAAACGGAGATCAATGGATGTCATTCAGTCAGCATTTTATTTAATCTTTGCAAAGAGAGAACACAACATCATACAACCCTTATACAAGGTAATCAGCCCTGTTCTGATCTAGCCAGAGTTTGTCTTACTTACTTACAATGATGGAAATGCTGAAAGTTGTGTCAGAGTCAAAACATATTTCTACCCAAAGCAAAAAACAAATAGAACAAGAAAGAGTCTAAATGTTTTGAGAACCACCTCACATTATGGCCAAAAACTCATTAATTACCGGTATATAAACAGCACACTCTCTCTTAGAGATGTTGTGGCCTTGGAGCTCTGAGGCTGAATGAATTAATCTGTATATATATACATGAATATATGTATATATATATATATATACATGAATATATGTATATGTATGTATAAGTAATTAATAAGAGACCTACTTCCAGATGTATACTGAAGACATATCAATTTCAAGGTTTTAATGACATTTCCTGCATTTTACCATGTCCTGCAATTTGCAGTTTGTTTTATAAATCAAGTCTAACATTGGACCGTTTAAAAACTGTAATTTTGCTTTTCTCAAGGGCCACAGTTTATGTATAAAGATCTTCATATTCAAAAAATTACAAATAATTCTAATGGCTAAAATCTCATAGAACTACAGGTTAGTATTATGGTAAAATAGTTTTCCAAAATTATTTCTGAATTCATGCCTGATTTAATTAAGTCATTAAATTATTTCAACTGTTATCAGTGATTTTAGAGAAAAAACTGCCCTGGCACATCTAGGAAACCAGATACTTTATACATATGATATGCCTAAAATGTAATGTCAAGAAATATAGAAAATTGAAAAAAGGAAAACTAAAGATCAATATGCAATTTATAAAACATTCCCTAGAAATAAAAATTGGTGTCATGGTAGTTTTTTTTACTTTGGTCACCAGAAAAAGTATATGACGACAAAGTCATTAAGAATAAAATGCAATCAGTCACATAGGATCATAGACAGAAAGCCCATCAGATCGAACTAATGTCTATCTCAAGCATCCTACTACTCAGTTGCTGTGACCTTTTGGATCCTCTTTGAGTTAATGGTGCTATAAATCATGAAGCATCTGGCGTAAAGGTGGCTTTGTATGAAACCTCTCATAAAAAACAAAAAGAAACAGCCCCAGAGTTTGGCTTTTTTTGCCCCCGAAGATTAAGCAAAATTGAACACTGAATGACATTTTTTTGTTTTTAGTTATATTTTATATTTTTTATATTTCAGCTTTTGTGCTGCAAGACAGTCAAAGGCACAGGGGCCATACATTAGCTTAGGTCTTAAAATGTCCCTGGACATAAAGCATTGAACAGTATCTAATTTTAATCTTTGCAACAACAACAAAAAAAACAGATTTTTAAATCTCCTTTATTGTGACTCTTTTCAGCGCTTTAAACCTCAACAGCAGCTTTTTTTTTTTTTTTTATCTCTGTCATGATTTTTTTATCAGAATATGTTTCACCTGAGCAGATTGCCGCCTCTGTTGAAAACCAGCTCTTATGGAGTTTCATCAAAGCAGTAGACCCCTAACCCACAGCTGAATGTCTTTTTTATCTTACTGAATGGAATGCTATTTGAAAGAGGAGATTAACTTGTTGAGGCAGAGCTTAAAATCGAAAAGATTAAAAAAAAATTAATAACTAGCTGATTTAATTGTGAAATGAGTATCAAATATCAGTGCTAAATCTTACTGCTGTTGGTTTATTATAAATTATCTGCATTTTTAATGTAAGGATCCTCTTCTGTGAGAAAAGGCTCTTATTTCACCTTTAATACCTGAATTGTGCACCTGCTCAATAGCAGGTGAGCCATGAAGTGAAATAAATCTACAACCAGATGCACCAAGGAATACTGAAACCCCAGGGTGGCAACTGAGCACAAAGACATTAGATGATATTGCTTAAAAATAGTTAAGATAACAAACTACTTGGTATTTTGTCAGAGTTTTGTTTCATCCTATCCTATCCCCCAGGCTTGAAGTTTCTCAGAAATGTTAAGATAAAAATCTAATTTTCCTGATAACCTCTGGAGTTTATTGATTAGAAGAGATTATTTTTTTGGTCTCTTGCTGGCTTTAGTTTTGAAGCCTCTATGCAGGAAACAAATAATGGAACCCCTGGAGGAGAGTGTAGCTGCGTCTGTCATGAAAAACTAATGTTTTAAAAGTAAATCTTAGAAGAACCAAATACTTGCACAGGGAAGGATAGATAAAAAGCTAAGCAAGATAGACCCCTGAAACTAGATGTTAACAGAGAGCTATATGTATGCTGAACTTGGAAAGTTGAAGAAAAAGGTGTGGTAAAATAGATAAACAAAAAAAAAAAAAAGAAAAACATTGGTCGAGCAAAAAAAAGGAAAAAGTACGAGCTCCAAAAAATGTTGAAGCCAAACTGACTGATGCACCTGTGAGGATAAACAAGAAATGGACTCCGGTGGAATCAGCGCCTCAGGACAACCACACCAATAGATGTCTAGGATATTATGGTCTACACGTGTTTCACTCTGTGTGTTTAGATACTTCTGAATCAAAGACAAAACCAAGAGCATCTACATTTATGTAGTAAATCAAACATCCAAATTCTGGAAGAGTGGAGATGAACAGAATCTAAGTTTTTTTAGGTCTAACCAGTCAAGTTTTTGCATCTAGTGATGATTTGGGGAAGCATTTCATTTGTTGATATTGATTCAAAGTATTTCATCAAACCAAATGTGACCATAGTTTTATTTTTGGAAAATAGGATTTCCTTTACCACTTATTTCAGTGCCAGATTAGCCAGAAAAAGACTGACTTAAAACCTGTGTTGAATCTATAGAACAGTGACTCCCAACCAGTGGTACCCATGAGTGCATTGCAAAGGGTACGTAAAAATATTTTATTTCTTTGGTAGTAACATAAAATAGTGCTGGGATCTGTTTTGTGAGGACCCAAAAAAAAAGTAACTTTTTCTTATATGTTTGAGTTCACCTTTAGCTTCGACACACATCAAACCAGGCAGAGGAACAGACTGGATGTAGAGAACAGTCTGGTATCTGCTGTTTTTCACACTGATCTATCGTAGCTCATAAAAGCAGCTCAGGTATCTTGATGAAAACAAATAAAACTAATTAAGTCAGTCTGACTATAATTTTTGTTTAGTATTTTATTCCCAATTCATCAAGTTTAAATGTGATTATAAGGGAGTTACTAAGAGGAGCTCCAGTTTTATAAATACAGGTTTATAATATGATGTTATTTTGTAATTATTTCAATTTTTCACTAACTTCCAGGGAAACATATTTATGTTGTTTTTTTATTTGAGATGGAAATAAAACATTGCCTAGGAATTAAATGCTCAAATTAAAAGATTAAGCAAAATAGTTTTACTCTATAATCAGTTATTGTACATTCGACATTTGGAAAATCATTACTTTTGCCCAAAAAGGGTACCCATGGTAAGAAAAATCGCCCAAAGGGGTACACAAGTCTAAAAAGTTTGGGAAACATTAATATAGAGCATTATAAACAGGAAGATTAGAGAGACCAAAACCAAAAATGTAGACAAATGGGAGGCCACCAATAAAGCTATTTGGGCTCCCTTTACATCACCAGAGAGCCACAGGGTTCTTCCCTCCATGCCATCTTAACCAATTACAGGATATAGACCCAATTCAAATACTTAGATTATTATTGAAAGTCTGTCAATTTTAGTAACTGAATTCATAGAGCTAAACAGAATATATCTAAATAGACTGTACATGGACTGATGATAAAGACCTTTATAATTAGAACATTGCATGAATCCAATAAAAAAAGAAACAGATAAAAATTCCTAACAAAAATGTCAGCAAATGAAAAGTTTCTTCAGTAGTGT